ACCTGGAAGGTGCCTGAGAACTGGGAATAGAAGCCCCAAGCCCTGGAGGGTGGTGGGTACCTAGTGCAGAGATGGAGCCACGATTAGGGCCTGTAGCTGTTGTAGGCATTGGCCTTTGCTCAGGGTGAGAGACGATCAGGAGCCTTTGAGAGGCAGGGCTAGGTGTCTTTGATAATATTTTTGATTCTATACCTGCTTATCCTTTTTTTTGAGACAGGGTCTCTCTGTAGCCTCAGCTGGCCTAGAACTCCTTATGTAGACCAGGCTAGCCTCAAGCACAGAGATCCTCCTGCCTCTGCCTGCTGAGTACTGGGATTAAAGGCGTGTGCCACCACACCCAGCTAAGTGCTTATTCTTTACTATGATTTGTAACATTTTTCCCCTGCTCTCTTTTCACTCTTTGTTGTAGGTTGACTTAATTAGAACTTAATTTTTGGATTGCCTTAGTGTCGGGGGTGAACAGCAGGAGGACAATAGAGTCACTGCCTAGTAGTATGTTGGCCACTGTAGGAAGGCTCTGTCTCTGGGGGAACTGCCTACAATCTAGCCTCATCTTTTAGGGGCTTAACTTGGGGTGCTTACAGTCCAGTGCCTGAGTCACCCTTGAACTAGACAAAGGTTAGTATCTCTTGTTTCCCTCTGGGGCCTCTGATTAGCAGGGAAGAAGGAGCCCAAAGTGACAGGGTGAGCTGGACAGAGAAGACATTTCTCCTGCCACTTCCCTCTTGGTAGCCCTTTCCGATGGACAGCCATTCCGTGAAATGGGTCATCTCTATGTGTGAGGGGTACAGACCTGCTGTTCCTGGTATAAGTTCTTTTAGCTCTAATTAGCTGAAAGAATTCATCTGTGCTTCAGGGTGGATAGACCAGGGTTCTGAGGATGGTCTTTCTCACTCCAATTCATGACGTGAAAAGTTACTTAGATTTGTGGTCCTAGTTCATCATCTATAAATGGATGATGCTTCCTGCATCCCTAGTTTGAGTGCCTGGTGGGACCATACCCAACCTGGGCAGCTCCTGATGTCTGGTAGTACAGTAGGTAGAGCCGGCAGGGAACATGAATGACTTTTAAAAATTACCCTCAATCTTTGCTTTAAATCCTTTTTTCTTTTCCCAGGATGCTGTATGATTTTCAGTATGCAGCTGTCTGCTGTTTACCTTTCAGCCCTATAACGCCAATCTAACCTGAGTAAACACTAGGTTGTCCAGGCCCCTTTCCTTAGACTTTGCAGGAGTCTTGTGGTGGAAATGGCCTAATAGTTTCAAAATTGCTTCTTTATGATTAGTCATAAATCTGCATTCCATTATTTTAATTAGGCAGCAAAAGAGTATGTCAAAGGCTCTCTCAGGCTGTTGCATAAGGCTGTATTTATTGCCAGGCAGGGTTACCTGTGTAGTGAGATCTTTGGAGCCACCTCCTTCCTTGAATGTGGTGTAGTCACAGAAGGCCACATCTGAGGCAGTTCTCTTTCTTCATTTCAAGGCTTTTTTTTTTTTAAAGAATTATTTTAGTTTTAATTATGTGTCTGTGTAGGTATGTGTACATGTGAGTGCAGGTACCCATGGAGTCCAGAAGAGAGTGTCAAATCTCCTGGAGCTGGAGTTATAGTAGTTATGAGCTGACTGACATGGGTGCTGGTTACTGAACCCAGGTCATCTGCAAGAGCAGTACATGCTCTTAACCTCTGAACCATCTCTGTAGCCCTTCAAGTTCTGGGAGGCAATCAAAGGCTGTGGCTATTTTGGAGTCTCTTACACTACCATGACCAGCAGATCAAAGGGTGGTTTCTCCTGTGTGGCACTGTGGTCTTCGTGCATACGCTTGTGACTATATATATAATGTGTGTTTTTCAGTAGGCGTTTGACTAATAATTCACCTCTGGTTTTTCATACCACCTAAGCATCATTTCTCTCCTCTTTCTTCCCCTGTATAACCCTCCCTCCTCCTTCCCCAGTTAAAATACCCCATTTCTCCCTTGATACTACCTGTCTCCTATTATCCCCCTCTTTGAGCTCCTTCCTTTTTACCCCCATGGTTCCTTTCCATTTTCTTGTCTGAGTCTCTGTTTCTTCACTTAGTATAACAGTTTTTAGTTCCATCCATTTACCTGAAAATTTAATAATTTTGATTTTCTTTACCACTAAGTAGAGCTTCATTGTGTAAATGTCCCACATTTTCATTATCCATTCATCATTTAGGTTGTTTTCATCTCTTCGCTATTATAAAAAGAGCAACAAACACTGCTGCACAAATATCTCTGCAGTAGAATGAGTCCTTTGGTTATATGCCAAGGAGTGGTATAACTGAGTGGGTCATATGGTAGATTTAATTTTAGGTTTTTTTTTTTTTTAAGAGTTCTCCACACTGCTTTCCACAGTGGTTATACCAGTTTGCAATCCCACCAGCAGTGGATGAGTGCTACCCTTTCCCCACATCCTCACCAGCATTTGGTGTCATTTGTTCTCTTGATCTTAGCCAGTCTGACTGGGGTAGGATGATATTTTAAAGTGGTTTTAATTTGCATTTCCTTAATTATTAAGGATGTTGAATACTTTTTAAGGTGTTTAGCCATTGATATTTCTTCTTTTGTGGCTGGCAAATATTTTTCTCCCACTCTATGGGCTTTTCTTCATTTGATTGCTTGTTTTTCTTTGCTGAACAGAAACTTTTTAGTTTAATGAGGCCCCACTTCATTATAATTACCCTCTAGTTATAACTCACATGCTTTACAAGTGAAAAGTCATCACGCTTTGGACTTGAAGATTTAGTATAGTTAAGGCTGGAGAGATGACTCAGCAGCTTAGAGCACTTGCTGTTCTTCCAGATCTAACATCAGTCTCCCCAACCCCCATGTTGTGCAGCTCATGACTGCCTTAACTCCAGCTCCAGCTCTAGCTGCAGGGCACCCTCTTCTGGCCTCCTCAAGTACTCACACCTACATGGCATAGACACACACACACATATATATACACACACACACACACACACAAATAAATAAAAAGTCAGTAAAATCTAAAGTTTTGTTCATTCACTTGGAGTATTGGGTATGCCTTTGGCAGTAATATGCTTACACCATTTTCTTTGTGCTGCTCTTGCCAAGAGTGTTGGTCATGTAAGATATGGAAGTTTTCCTGGCTGTTTCTAGCCCATTCTGACTTAATAAGATGCATGAAATATGTTCGTGTGTGTACATACCCAAGTGTTGGTCTGCTGAGATGAATAGGACGTGGCAGCTGACAGCAGCAGAGCATGTGAACAGGAGCGACAGTGCATTGTGGGAAACAGACTGAAGTATAATGGTGTGTGGAGGGATTGGTGTGGTCTATAGCTGTGGTAGAGGAAGCATGTTCACATCTAGGTTGATCTGGAAAGAAAAATTGGAAAGGAAGTAGGGCTGAACTATAAACCTCAAGGTATGTGCCCAGTAATCCACTTGGTCTAGCTAAGCCCTGCTCTCCAAAGTTTCCAAACCAACACCACCAGCTGAGGATGAAATGTTCACTCATGTGCTTATGGGTAACATGTTACATTCAAACCACAACACATTGGCTCACAGAAATGTTGAAGAAAGCTCCAGGGTATCAAACTTGGGTGATTAGATGTAGAACACTGGGAGGGCTACAAGTGGAGCTCATTTGGTGAGGAAGATAATGAATCCAATGTAGGACATTTGGGTAGCTAAGAAGCCAGTTCAGCTGATGGCTGAATACTGAAGAATTAGATATAGGGAAGAGATCTGAGTAGATGTAGATTTTGGCATCAAGTGTTTGCCTCAGCTGTAGGAGATCATCATGTGCAAGGATGCTGCAGAATGCACAAAGAGAACGAGTGGAACAGCATGGGGCATCAGTTCATAAAGCATGCATGGACTGCCTCCATGGTACACCATGACCAGCCAGAGAGGCACACAGGTGGCAGTGATGTGTTTCAAAAAAGATTTCTGGGTCATAGGTAGTCAGCAGTCTTTGGTAGTGGAACCATCTGAAAGGAAATCCAGGGTAAGAGCAGGTCTTCCTGCCAGATGTGCCTTCTGCCAGATTGCATTGGCTTCAGGAGCACAGAGCAGGGAGTATAGGGGCTGCAGCTGCACACAGATCTTGCCCAGCTGGTCTGAGGGGCAGCATGGGGCCTTCCAGAGGAGCTAGCATTTCTGGAGACCCATGCTGCAGGGGCCGTGGTTGTATCTCCCAGATCCTTGTACCATTAGGACCATTTACTACTGCAGAAGTAGGTCATACGTCTGTTTGGTTGGACATGTTTGTATATTACAAATGGAGGTTTGATTATCCCTCATCAAGAGCAATGTAATATGCCCCATGTATCCATGACTTTGTTAAACATGTACACCTGTCCACATAATTGTGGAGCATCTATATGTTGCTAAAACACTGGCCTTTGGGAGAGCAGTGCGTTATATTTCTGATGTTGCTTCTGGCATCTCTGAAAAAATGCTGTTGGCCTCCTACCAGCATTAAGAGGTCAGCAACAGAGCTTTCTCCATATGGAATATCTTTCTGCAGGTCATTCTGATGGTCAGGATTTCATCCTTATTGAGATGCCCGAGCCCCTCGATGTTCTGGCCTCCAACTTCTCCATGCCACCTCTTGACTTCCTGCAGACTTCACACTTACGGTTCCAGAGGGAAGACCTGGCTGTTCCATGGTCCTGACCATGCTGCGGTCCATTCCTCTGAGCCCTCTCTCACCATGTGCACCTCTCTTTCCCCCTTGCCCTTCGCTCTAGGTGGCTGGGCCTCCCTTTCTTCTTGCTTTAGGAGCCTCTCTGGGGATCTCCCTGGGGGAAGCTGGCCACTGTTCCATGGAGAGCTCTGTCCCCTTGTTGACAGCTGATCATGCGGCTTTGCATCTGCACACTGCCCTCTGGATCCCATCTGAGAGTCTGCGCTCCCACCTGGCAAGGACACCTATGTGTGTAGACACCTCCACACTCAGGAGGTGCTGGCCTGGCGACGTTCACCTTGTCCTCCGCTTCTTTCCAGGGAAGCAGTTCAAATGTACAGTGTGTGACTACACAGCAGCCCAGAAGCCACAGCTGCTGCGGCACATGGAGCAACATGCCTCCTTCAAGGTAAGGGGTGTGGGAGAGGACAGTGGACGCTTTGGCTGAACACACACACTAGTGGGATTGCCTTCCCTTTCCAGCCTCTGAGCTGTTCCTTGTGGAGTCCAAGGGTGTCTCAGTTTACTTTGCGCTTGTTTTACCCTAGAAGTGCAGTATTTCCGTGCTTTTGAAACCAAGTCAACAGTGTTCAAGAGGATACAGACAGAAGATAAGGCACATGCGTACCACTGAGAACTGGAGTGATTTAGAGGAAAAAGTGCAGATTTAGGGACCTGTGTTTATGCCTTCAGATCTTGGATTACTTCAAGTGAATTGTGTGATTAAAGCCCACATGGCAGGCTCTTTAAGAGCAGGAGGTAGTGTGCAGAGTGCCCACCAGAATGCCCAGCAGGTCCAGGGCCTTGGTGATGGACTCCTTCCATATTCTCCTAATACTGGTGAGTGGTGTTTCTTTGAGATGTAGGTGGTGATAATCTTCCTGTCCATTCTCATACCATTACATAGCAGAAGAAAGATGACCCAATACAATAGTCTGTTCAGTCAGAACTCTGCGTATCAGTTGGGCAACTTGACCCTTGACATTGTTATTTCTGCTTGTATGTGCACAGAGAAATGGCGTCATTAAGATTTTTGACCGTGTTGCTCAAAAATATGTTTTGAAACTGCCTACTACAGATTCTAGAGAGTTAAGAGAGTATGGAAGGAATGTTGGTCACCACACTTACCGCTCATGTTGATTGAACATCCCAAGTGCGGATTCTGTGTTGGGCAGTACGCATCCATCACCCCAGGTCTCTCCACAGTACATACTGTTGCCCTTGTCTGTCGGATGAAGAACCTGAAACTCAGAATTTAGCTGATGGCCTCTAGTCTTGTCTGCCACATACTCTCAGATTTCAGTTATCTTGTTGACTGGCTTGTGTCCATCACTTGTGAGGTATCAAGGACCTTCCCAGCAGCAAACTTATCCCGTGCTCAGAACATCTTGCAAGAGATGAGTTCATGGAATTTTTCCTCCTGTAATTAAAGGAGTTAAGGGGGTCCTTCAGGAAGTTAAGGACATGTATTATCGACATCCAGGAAGTGAAGAGCCAGACCTTGACCCTCATCCTCTTGCTCCCAGTCCTGTATTCTTTGCACTTGACCTTCATGGTGACTTTGGGGACAGAAGGGAGGAATTGGGACAGCCAGGATCGCTGCAGATTGTTGCTTAGGTTGCTGCTGCTTGGGTCTGCAGTGAACACGAGTTGCTTGGGTAGGACCCATGTATTACCTGGGAGGAGTGCCACCTGTTGAACCAGCGAGGTCTTCAATTTTATGCCTCTTCTGTACCCAATTGAAATGAAGGGCTTCATTTCACATTTCCCAGTGCACAAACCTGTTCATCAGGATTAGCTTTCCAGAGTAGTCAGTTACCATGCTAGAGAGCTGAGAGCCAAAGCAGCTCTCTCTCTCTTCATAGGTGAGAAATTAGACCCAGTGGGGGGTGGTTCTTCTCCCTGCTCCAGCCTTGGTGAGCTTTGCATTCATCCTTGGTTTTCAGTTGGGAAATTTTCTCTTCCCAGCTAGGCTTAGCTGAAGCAAGTCTTCTGTCTTGAATTAAATCCTCCTGTTTTCTTCCTAATTTTTGGACTGTGGTTGAGGTGCATGGAGATCAGTGTGGGAGTCAATCTATTAAGCATCACTCACAGAGCGTTTATCACCTGTTTCTTGCCATCATGTCCTTGGCATCCTGTACTGGGTCTGGAGTTGCTGCACTGAGCTGGTTCCTGAGCCGTGGCTGGTCTCCCTGGGGCCCCCAGTGGATCTGGGCTCTTTCTTTTTCAAATAGTACTACAGCCAGGAATGAGACTCACAGCTGAGTGAGGAACACTACAGCCAACCTTGTGTCTCTTCCTGTAGCTCTCCCATGCCAGTTAGACTAGGTGGTATTTCCCAGTTAATTGAGACTGACAGAGCAGCATGAAATTGCTCCAAGCTGGCCACCTGCATCCCGACAGTAGCAATTGCTCTTTCCCCGTCTTCTCCCCTCTCATCCTCTATCGGTTTTGTCTTGCTACAAAAATAGATTGCCACCAAGTTACTGGGTTGAAACAACAAACATTTATTTAACTATCTTATGTTTAACTCAGGATGCAGACATGCCCTCCTGAGACCAAATGAGAATGCTGGCAAGGCTGGGACTCAGTCTCTTGCCCTTGCCTTTTCCCACTCCTAGATGCTCCCTGCAGTCCCACACCTGTGGCCCCTTCCTCCATGTCAAAGCTAGCAGCACAGTAAGTCCCATCTCATCATCTGCTGTGACTCTCCTCTTCCACTTTTAAAGACCCTTGTAGAAGTGAGTTTTTGTTGGTGAAGTCATGAGTTTGTTCCCAGCCCCTGCATAAAAAGCTCAGTATGGTGGTGCATGCCCGTAATCCCAGCACTGGGCAGGCATGACAGGCAGACACCTGGAGCTTGATGCTTACCCAGTCTAGCTGAACCAGTGAGCTCCAGTTTCAGGACCTTTTCTCAAAGAATAAAATGGAAAGTGATTGAAGATAACGACCTGACATTCACTCACACCTTCATGCGCATGGGCAACACACAACAGGTACACACCACACACACACACCACACACACACACACACAAACACACACAGACACGTGTGCACACAGACACAGACACACAGACACACATACAGACACACACAGAGACACACATATACACATACACATACATAGACACACATACATACACACACACAGACACACACAGACACACAGACACACACACAGAAACACACACACAGACACACACAGACAGACACACACATACACAGACACACACACATACACAGACAGACACACACACAGACACACCACACACACACACACACACACAGACAGACACACATAGACACACACACAGACACACACATAGACACACAGACACACACAGACACACACACGTGTGCACATGCCCCCAAAATAAATAGAAAAGACCTTTGTGAGTGTTGGGGATGTGGCTCTGCAAAGTGTTTGCCTCTATGCACAAAGTCCACTTCCACCTAAGTCAGGAACAGTGGTGCATGCTTGTCGTCCCAATGCCTAGGAGGTGATGGCAGGAGATCAGAATTCATGGCCATCCTTGATTATATAGTAAGTTCAAGGCCAGAGGACACAGGAGACTCTGTCTCAAATAATAAAAAAATGGAAAAACAGGGACCCTTGTGATGATTCTCATATAACCCAGGTAATGTTCTCATTGAATGATCAGGTGATGAATAGCCTAAGTCTTAGTTTATTTTTTACTGTTCTTATTCTTGTTTTTCTTCAGTACTGGGGATGAACCCAGTCCTTATACATACCAGGTGAGCCCTGTACCACTGAGCTACATCCCTAGCCTAATTCTTAACTCTCAATCCTGATGGCCATGGAAAGTAGTGTATTTGCGGCTTTCACAGATTAGGGCATGGGCCTCTTTGGAGGGACATTATTCTGCCAATCATTTCCTTGAAATTTTTTTCCTTTCATATCTACCTGTGGAAGAGCATTTTTATGAAGGTCAAAAAATACATAGTATATACTTTGTATTTCACACCAGTAGTGAACACTGCTAAATATTTAGGTTTCTTTTTTGTTTATTTTTTATATGTATGAGTGTTTTGTCTGCATGTGTATAAGTGCACCCATGTTATGAAATGTCTGCGTAGGGTGTCAGGTCCCTTGGAGCTACCATTACAGTTACTAGACACCATGTGGGTGTTGGGAACCAAACCCAGGTCCTCTGCAAGAGCAGCCAGTGCTCTTAATAACTGATCCATCTCTCTAGCCCTGACACTCAGGTTTCTTTTCCACTAATTTTATGTTGACCCCAGATCCTCAGGAAGGCGCTACTGATTTCTTGCAGTTGTTTTGCAAGATGAAACCAATTTGCTGTTCTTGAGGTAGATTTATACTTTACAACATATGACTTGTGACAGGAAACCCTGAAATAAGGCAAATTCCTAGATTGCTTTTTCAAATGACACATTTTCTATTTATGTATTTACTTAGTATTCACCAAATAAGATTTTGAAAATGCTCATAAACCCTTCTTCATGGGATGCTTTGGTGTCTTATCTTTTAAAGCTGTGCTTGTAGTTCTGTAGTAAATGAAAAAAATTTGATGAAAATCATTACATCGGCTTTACCACTGATAAAGCTCTGTTGGATAACGTGTCCTGGCTTGCTAACAATGCTCCACTTCCTAGCTAGAGGAATCTTCCAGTGAAAGGCTGGGCTGGAGACTGACCCTTTATTCGGTGAGAAATGTTGCCTTTTCCATAGTCATTTTCCTGTTTCCTGAAAATAGACTTGGCAACGTCTTGTCATGGTGCTTAAGTTCCATGCTTCATCTAAGCTTGCCCCTCACAGTTGAGGCTGTGGTTGCTCCCAGTCTGGGCTCTTATAGATAACCCCACAATGGGCATCTTCATGCAGGAAGCATTTCCATGTCATCCTAAACTCTAATGGGTCATGAAATACAGCATACCACTGGGAATTTAAAGATGGCAGAGCCGCGGTCTTTCTTGCAGCTGTCATTCAGAAACCTTCTTAAGGGCAGAGTCAGCGCTCCTGACCTTAGAGTGGGTATCAGGGAGGATGTCTGGATGCAGCCGGCTGCTGTTGAGCTGAAGTGTGTAAGCAGCAGTGGCCTGTGCCTTTCTCGTAGCTGCTCTACACCTGTGTTTCTTACAGATTATAACTCCTCTCACCATTTGTAAGGCTGGTGACCAGTAGGTGAGGATCACCTTGTGGATTTCGTCCTTGTTTAGGATCCCACAGCTCCACAGCTGTTACAGAGATGTTCTTAGTGACATGACCAGGTGATTCATTGTCTGACTCCTTGCACATGAATCAAAAGTTACTATTTTTTAAACAAAGATTTCTTATTTATTTTTATTTTATGTGTTTGAGTGTTCTACCTGCATGCATGTTAAATGCACTCCTGTGTGCAATACCTGTGATGGCCAGAAGAGGG